AAATATACTATAAGAGTATAAGAAATATTACTCACTATTTAAGGAAACCCTAGAAACGGGATTATTATTATATAGCCGATAGGACCACGAAATCTATCTTAAAACCGGTACTTCGATTAAGCACTAAAGACTCTATAACCTTAACGGAGAATAACTTAAAGTATTACGAGAATATATCAACGAAATAATCGAAAAAGGCTATATTCGATTATCTACTTTAGAAGTAAGATACTTTATTATATTCGTATTAAAGAAAAATAGTAAGCTACGATTAGTCGTGGACTACCGGTAGCTTAACGATATTACGATTAAAGACCGGACACCCCTACCGCTTATTAACGAGCTTAAGGATAGACTTCACGGTAAGAACTAGTTTACCGCTCTTAACCTAAAAGGAGCTTATAACCTAATCCGTATAAAGAAAGGAGATAAATAGAAAATTACTTTCTGTATAAAACTCGGTCTATTCGAGTATTTGGTAATACTATTCGGCCTTACTAATACTCTAGTTATTTTCTAACGAATAATAAATAATATACTTAAGGAGAACTTAGATATCTTCGTTATAGTATACTTAGACAATATCCTAATCTTCTCGGATACCCTTAAAGAATATAAGGAATATATCTATTAAGTACTAAAGATACTTTAAGACACGAATCTCCTAGTAGATCTAAAGAAGAGCGCGTTTTATATATAAGAAATAATCTTCCTAGGATATACTATTCGACTAAACGAAATCCTAATAGAGTAAATAAAGATTAGTATAGTTAAAGACTAGCCTAAACTAAAAAACAATCTTAAGGAAGTATAAGCGTTCGTGGGTTTTATGAATTACTATAGATATTTTATACGTAACTTTATAATAATCGTAGTACTACTAACGAAACTCACGAAGAAAGAAATACTATTTAAATAAGGAAACGAATAAAAGTAAGCGTTCGAGGAACTACGAGATACTATCTTATTAAACACCGTCCTCGTAACGTTCGATCTAGATAAATCACTCGAATTAAAAACCGATATATTAGACTACGCTATAAGAGTATAGATTAGCTAACGCGATAAGGATAATAACCTAAGACTAATCGCTTTCTTCTTAAAGAAACTCTATAGCGTAGAACTAAACTACCTTATATATAATAAAGAATTCTTAGCTATTATATCCGCTATAAAAGAATTTAAGTATTATATACTAGGAACTAAGTTTAGAACTAAAGTCTATACCGACTATTAAAATATCACTTACTTCGCTATTACGTAAGAACTTAGTAAATAATAAATCCGTTATATAGAATTCCTAGCGGATTACGATATTAAGATTATCTATTAGAAGGGATTAGAAAACGGTAGAGTAGACGTGCTTAGTCGCCGACTAGACTACGATACTAAAGTACTAAAAGCTAAGGGATAGATACTTTAGAAGAATAAGGAAAGAAACTACGTATAAATATCGCTTAACCTCCTTATATATAGAGTTAAAGCTAATACTACGTATTACGATAAAATACTAGATTAGGTATCTAAGCACGTAAAGGAAATACCTAACGATTATATAAAAGAAATAGGAAAAGGACCTACTAGGAATAGATTACTCTAGATACTACCGCCGCTACGCGACGAAATCTTAGTTAATATCCACGTGTATCTTACGGTAGGATACTAAGGAGTTAGAAAGACTCTTAAACGAATTCGACGAACGTACGATTACTAAGGAATTAAAGCGGACGTTATACGTATCGTCGGATAATACGAAGATTATATATATAATAAGGCTACTCGATATAAACCATATAGAGAACTAAAGCTACTACTTATACTTTTAAGACTATAGGAATTAATAGCCTTCGACTATATTATAAAGCTACCTAAGTTAATCGAACTAGAATCTAACGTCGAATATAATAGTATATTCGTTATTATAGACCGAATAAGTAAATTCGGGTATTTCTTACTATATTAAGAAGTAACGGACGTAGAAATACTCGCGTATATTATATTTAAATATATCGTGGCTAACTACGGCCTTCCAGAAGAAATTATTTCGGATAAAGGAACGATATTTACCTCTAAATTCTAGCAAGCCCTAATAGTTTAATTAGGCACTAAGTATAAGCTTAGTATAGCTTATTACCCTTAGACGGATAGATAAATAGAGAGATTAAACTAAACGTTAGAATAATACCTACGGTGCTATATTAACTACGAATAAGACGATTAGGTCTCGAAGTTATTACTCGCCTAACTCGCTTATAATAACGTACCTACGGAATTAACCTAAGTCTTATTATTCTACGTAAACTATAGATATAAACCCTAATTCGGTAGTAAAATACTAAGGGATAGACCCCTAGCTAAAAAAGTAATACTTAAAGTAAACTAACTACGCTCTTTATACGAATATATAAAAAAATAACTCGAATTCGTACGTGTACGAATATTAAAGTACTATAATAAAAAAAGATCGAAAGGACCGATCTTTCGAAAGGGAGATATAGTCTACTTACTATATAAAAATTTTATAATAACTCGACCTTTACTAAAGCTCGATTATAAAAAACTTAGACCGTTTAAAATTAAAGAGGTTATCTCGGATACTAACTATAAACTTTTATTACCCTTAAGTATAAGGATATACCTAGCTTTTTATATTTTATTACTTAAAAAAGCACTATAAAACGCAAAAACTAAGTACGAACTAGAGGTTCTTGAAGAACTCTACGAACTAGAACGAATTATCGATAAATAAGTAATTAATAGAGAAGTTAAGTACCTTATTAAATAAAAAGGCTACGTAAGTAATAAGAATATATAAGAGCTACCTAAATATTTAAAGAACTACCGCTACCTATTATAATAGTATTATTAAAAGGAAATATATCGGGTATTACGGACTAATTAATAATCCTAAAGGCCCCTAATTCCTAAGCACGCTTAACTACCTATTACTCCTTAATAATAGCTTCCTCCTAAGAACGAACCCTATCTTCTTCGTTAAGTTCGCGTATATTACGAGATACTAGCTCTAAAGTACGACTACGAAGTAATTCTCGCTAGCGACGGAGGTGCTAGACGCGCCCTAGAGCTTCTTAAAGCTCCCTCTTAGATTTTTCTAAATCCGCTTCTACTTGTTTTTATTTAGATACCGCACGCGTTACTAAAATATAAGGTTAGTATACCCGCTGCACGACGGGTATACGGTACCTATAATATAACGCTATACTAGTACTATTATAGGTCTTCTTTATTTTAATATATAAAGTATAACGGCGAGAGTTATTACTTATACGATAAACGCGCTTCGCGTGGTAATAATAAGTATAGGGTATCTCGCTCTTAGAACCGTTAAGATAGACGGCCTTAATTAGGATAGCGCGATACGAGTCGTTGGCTTTCTTATAGGTAAGCGGACGTTTCTATATACGGTTAGGCATAATAAAGGAGAGAAGTTAGCGAATACGACTTACGTAAGGGTAACTAACGGGTTTTAATTAATTCTAGGACAGAATCTCGGAAGGGGAGATATTATATTACGACCTGATATACGACCGTATACGCCTCTCACATGCCCCTTACTTTTTCCTCCTATCACGCGTTATTCACGTACTAAGTATAGTAGTCGACTATAGCCGCTAGGCGACTACGGTCGACTATACTATAGAGGCGCTCGTAGACGATAGTCGACTATGGTCGACTATATAATATTCACTAGTATATAGGAAGTCTAACTTTACTATAGTTAGTCTCTACTAGCTCCTTAGCTATTAATATAATTATCTACGTAAGATCTACTATCTCGCATATAGACTACGACCCGACCGCTTAAGTCAACGATATCCTAGTGTACTCGGTTCATAACCCGACTTCTATTCTATCTACCCGGTAGCTAGTCTAGACCCGAACGTCACACGACCGTAAGAGCTCTTAAAGGTATATCATATAGTTATACGGCGGCTCGATAGCCTAGAAAGCATTAAAACAGCCGACCATAACGCCTAGCACGACTAAAGCCGAGTTACTCGCGGCGTTAGCGGCAGCGCGAGAAGCTATATTCATAAGCCGTTTGCTCAAAGCACTCTAGGTGCGCTTAATAGATGCCGTTATTATCGAATGCGACAACACGCAGACCGTGAAGCTGATAACCAACGATCTCGAGAAGCTCGTCACGAAGCTCCGGCACGTTAATATCCATAGCCACTAGCTACGCCAGGAATACCAGCAAGGGCGGATTAAAGTCCACTAGGTTCTAACGAAATAGATAATCGTAGATAGCTTAACTAAGAGCTTACTAAACTAGTAATATTAGAAATTCGTTACGATTATCGGGATCGAAGATCTACGAGATCGACTAGCTATCGAACGTCGAATAGACGAGCTAAAAGATCTAATTAAGTCCGCTGCTAGGACTAAACCAGTAGAAATAGAGATGCGAGTCGGCTATAACACTATAAATCAGCGTTAGAAGGAAGGAAAAGGGGCTCGCGATAGCCTTAAAAGTTCAGGGCAGGAAGAGCCCTGCCGGCCCTTCCTAAGGGGGTGTGTTAGATAGCGTGTGGATAATATGTGGCTGGTGTGGTGTGGATCTATGAAGGATTTTGTAAGGGGCTTACAGCTTGAGGGATTTTGTGGGACACTCGATCAGAACATCAATCAATACAACACAATCAGGCCTTGTGACAGTATGCAAGACTCCAGGAATCTGCTGGTCTCCAGAGCCGCGTGTGTTGACCTGGCTGCTAGGGAAATCTGTTTGGAGCTCAATATTGTCGAGACCAGCGTTTGCAACCTCCGCTATCCAGCCTTCTTCCCCGAGTTGCCTGTAGATCCTGGAGAGCCTGATGAGGGTGCCTCTATAGTCCGACAAAACGACGTGGCGAGTGGGCGCTGTGGGTGCGGCCACAAGTAGAAACCACCTCCGTGAAAGCCACTCGTGAGATCGGTATAGGGCGACATAACACAGTTGATTTCAGCAACCGCACAACAGCATGGTTTCAGCCAGTTCACTTTATCTGTTGATCGGTCCACAGGTCAGTGGACATGTACTTGAGACCTGAGTCACATATCACAATGGCCACCGTCTTCCCCCGCATCTCACCTCGCAGAAGTCGGATGGCAGCCATGAGGTTCGCGCCACTAGAGAATCCCCCAAAGATGCCCTCCTTCATGGCCAGCACGCGGGCTCCTTCCTTGGCTTCATCACCTGTGACCTGCACAAGGCCATCGACAGCAAGATCTTCAAGGAACGCCAATTCAGACATCATGTAGCCACCACCCTGAATGGGGTGCCCCGGGTTTGTGACCTCCCTCCTCGCCAAGACAGCAGCCCCCTCTGGCTCGACGATGAAACATCTGATGGCGTCGTTCAGTGACTTGAGCTTCCTGGAAACGCCCGCGTAGGTACCTCCAGAGCCCACAAAATCCACGAAGCCGTCAATGGCACCGTCAGTCTGCTCCCACAGCTCAACGCCCGTTCCGTCGTGATGCGCGACCCAGTTGCCGTCCCGCGTAAACTGATCGGCGCGAAAGGCGCCCCGCTCGGCTTCAATCTCTTTCGCTCTGCGTTCTACAAGCTCCAGGTCGGACCCGGACACCTGGCCAGGCATCGATCCCGGCGCCTGGTTCACAAGCACAACCTCGGCCCCTAGAGCTGCCATCATGCGGGCCCTTTCAATCGAGTTTCCTCGCGACATGACGGCAACAAATGGGTAGCCCTTGACAGAGCAGACGATTGCGAGACCCGTGCCTGTATTGCCACTTGTCAGCTCGACGACGGTCTGCCCGGGCTTGAGAGTGCCGAGTCTTTCTGCCTCCTCAATGATACCGAGGGCCACGCGGTCCTTCTTTGAGCCACCGGGGTTCAAATAATCGAGCTTGGCGACAATGTCTCCATCGAGGCCTAGAGATGAGGTGATGCGACTGAGGCGCACGAGAGGTGTGCGGCCAATGGCGTCTACCGCAGAGTCCAGGGTCTTCTGCATTACGGTGAAAGCGCAACTCAGTCAAATGCTTAGGCAATCTGCATAAGCCAGGGACTAGAGAAAGTTTCAAGAAACAGTGCAACGTTTCTCGGACGTGTTGCCGCACGGAACAAGAAGCGACGTGAAGGTGAGTTCTTTCTGGATGGCAGACAGCCCACAAGAGTGTGACTCGCAGAGCGATACCGACAATCTCCGTGTGATTATGTAAGTATAGCCGCTAGTGTCTCTCCACCATAGACAACAAAACCCTTCCGACCTCCAAATTTTTTTCGCACCTTTTCCTTCACCACTTCACACCATTACCACTTCTGTAATGGCTCGTCACCGCGCCAGCTGGCCGCCTTGACTTGTCAGGGCATCGCGATGCGTCTCTTCTTGATCCGTCATGGCGAGACAGTGGACAATGTCGCACAAGTCTACGCTGGCTCGCGCGACTCGGCACTGACCGCCCATGGCGTCCTCCAAACCCGTCGGTTGGCCACGCACCTTGCAGGCAGCTCGTCCTCCGCAGCACGAGTCTTTTCCTCGGACCTGCAGCGCGCCGTCAAAACGGCTCAGGCCATCTGTGACGCGCGTGCCAGCGGTGAAGAGCCTCTGCAGCTGCCTCAGCTTCGCGAGAAACATTTTGGCACAGGCGAGGGTGCAAGCTTTAGCGCAGGCAGGGACCATTCCCATGAAGGCGCGGAGTCGTCCGAGGACATGCGCGAGCGCGTCGACGTGTTTCTGCAGGAGCACTTGCTCCCCCTCGTCTCCTCTTCAGATCATGTATACGTCGTCGCTCACGGTATCATCCTTGGCGTCTTGTTAAAGCATTTGTGTCAGCAGCTTTCGCAGGCCTCCATGAGTTTTGCTCCAGAGGCCCAACGCATTGCCGGTCCGAGCAGCCTATTGCTGCCGACCTGGAGCAACACGGGCTTCCTGGAGGCCCACGTGATATCAACAGATACCAAGTGGTCCAGCACGAAGCTTCACATCCTCCGAGTCAACAGTGTCGATCACCTTCAAGGCCTCCGCAAGACGCGAGGTGGCATCGGCAGCGCCCGCTTCGACGACAAGCAGAAGACGCTCATGTCCTTCTTCCCACCAAAGAAGCGGAAGCGTGCCGATGCCGACAATTGACAAGGTACGTTTGAAACAACCTTTTTCTTACCCCGAAACCTTAACCTTACGTGATGAGAAACCGTATTCACAGACCTGTTCTGAAATTACAATGTGGAAAATAACCAACCGCTGTCTGATCTTTACTTCATTCACTTGTCTCTTGTTGCCATCTATTACGTGGACAAAAGCTGACTCGTCTAGTGTCCAGGTTACCAATCCCATAGTCGTCATATCATGGATAGATCTATACTTCTGTACTCGTTTCGTCCCGACCCGTGAAGATTTTGTACATGCGCCTGCTCACAGCCTGCCCGACCGTCCTCGTGCCCAGCGTCCCCTTGCTGTCGACTGTCTTGGCCACGTTGCTCAGCCGCTCCGGGCCCCCGCGCAGCATCCCATTCACCAAGGACGGTACGTTCTCAAACTCTGCGGCAATCCCATGTGCCATGGGCGCCGAGACGCGGGCAATCTCCTGCAGCATTCGTAAATACGTATCCTTGGGCCCATCGCCTGACCGCACCTGCCCCGATTCCATACAGAAGCCGACATCCCGCAGAGCGTGCTCCTTGGCCTTTTTGTACGGCACGGCCGAGATGTGCTGGGTAAAGATCATGATCCAGTCGCCAGTAGTGACTGCGTCCTCGGTGTGGTGGATGTACTTGTCGTGCAGGACCTGCAGCTGCAACAATGCGTCTTCGACCACGCTCTCGTCGACGGGTTCCTGCGCAGTAGGCCGACGCGCGGACGAGCTTGATGGCTCCCCTCGCACGTTTGCTCGAAACTGTCTGTTCAGTGCGGCACGGTTGCTGGAGAACCACTTCCGCATGCCCTCAATGAGGTAAATGATCCGGCAATAGGGAAAGTTCTCGTCCATCTTATGGACGTGGTCTTCGAGGCTCTCCTTAAGAGCCATCTCCACGAACTCGGGTGCGCACACCACCACCAAGGCATATTGCTCGGGGACCAGGCGCTCGACAACCGGCTCCCAGTGGCCCAGACTCTCGTTGAAGCGGCGGCAGACCTTGCGACGCCAAAGCACCACGTTGTCGACAGGCGTCTGCCTGAGCCTGTAGCTAACATCCAGCTTCTCGAACACGGCCTCCACATGCGTCTTGGTCTCCTTGCTCAGCGTCAAGGGCAGGTCCACAACCATTTCCCGCGTGGAGGCCTTCCTGTCCGCCAGGTGCTTGTTCGCCTCGGCAAGAGCCCGCTTGCGTATCCGCTCGCCGTCCTTGATAGCCTTGTCCCGTGCCTTCTCTTCCTGCCTGTGTCTTTTTTCTGGATCTTTGATGGAGGCCTTTGCTTGCCGCTCACGCGTTCTCCCCCCGATCGTCGCGGAGGCCTTGGTCACTCTGGCGGCGCCTCTCGAACTGACAATCTCGCTTCTTGATAGACGAGGGGGGGATCTTGGTGGGCGGTTTGCGACATGCTTCGCAAGGCTGTCAATGTCGGGAAGGTCATCAGAATCAATGTCATCAGCAGGAGGAGCATCATCGGTGTCGGATTCAATCTCGATTGCTTTGCTAAAGGGTTTGTGCTGCCGGACCGTCCCTCCATTCGTGGATGCCTCAGGTGCTGAACTCGAAATGGGATCCCATATTTGGCGGCGGGATGAAAATGCCACCGGTCGTGGTGGGCTGCGAGGCTTTGATGAATCTAACGGGCCGACCCGACAGTGTGTCGATTGCAGCTGTGTGGAGCTCGTGTCTCCTCCACGCGACTGATCATCGATAGACATGTTAATCGTACCATGGAACGATCTAGGCGAGCTTGCAAAGGGGTCCGACAACGCCAATGGATCCTCTGGCAGGGTCACGGGCGCACTCTGCACGGCAGGCAGTACCTGGCTACACGAACTGTGAGCGGCAAGTCGCGGACTCGGGCTCTCCACATTGGTGACATGGGCAGTTCTGACAAGTTCTGCGGTCGCTGGAAGAGGTGAGGTTGCAAACGGGTCGGAGATGTCGGAAAATTCGTCAGCTAAAGCTAGTGATTCGCGGCGGGGACTGGGTCGTCGTTGCGCTGGTCCTGTGGTGACTTCTTTTGTGACAAAAGCCGCAGGCGATGCTGATAATCGACGCCTCTTGTTGCCGACACTCTCCCTCAAAACAGGCTCGCTCAATCCATCGGTCGTATCGAAGTCGTCCGAGAGCAACACGACATGCTGGGCAGTGGTTGAGTATCGATCGGTTGAGTGTTGGGCTGTGGTGGCTTGAGGTTGAGGCTGGGATGGTGCGTGCAGTGAAGCGTCGATATCCCCCGTCGTGTCGAACTCGTCGGCTATGTCGTCGAGATCGAATTCTACCGTCGCGGGTAACGCCTTGGGCAGAGAATCGGTCTTGCGTGACTGCGCCCCAGGTACATCCCTGTGGCTCTGACGCGCCGGATGGATTGTTGCCGAGGGGCGCGGCTCAGGCTCCGGGCTCGACGAGACGAGATCGATGACATCGCCTGCCATTGCGCAAGTTGGTCGGGGGTTTGGCTCTTCTGTCGCGGTCCTTGCTGGTAGACGCGTCATCGCAACTTTGCCCACTTGACACCATGACGCGCATGGCGGGCGGGCGACGCCTAATCACGTGCTCGGGCACTAGTCCCTGTTGACCTACCCTGTGACAGCCATCAACGTGGTAGAAGTAATTCCTGAACCCTGCCCGGCTGGCAATAACAAATGTTGAGATTTCATGTACACTAGTATGCTCATTGATACGTGAGTTTAGAACTGACAGGCCGACATATACACCTTGAGGATCATGCAGCTGTGGGCTGGGTGATTTAGTGTCATTGTCAGTTCAAATCCGAGCGCTCCCAAATTCCAAAGTTTACGCCAGCACCAGCAATGAATAAAAAGCTCGTAATTTCACGTCATGATTTGCAACGCAACGATAAGGTCAACCTGATCAAATATGATGAGTGATGACGCAGCGTTGTGTGTTTCAGAGCCTACAAGTAGGCGTGTAAATGCCTGAGTTAAACTTCCAAACCTGTAATTACAAACAGACATCCACAGCATAGAACACACGCCACACCGCAGACATATTTGACTTTGGTATGTCCAGGTCCTTTGTAGCAGAACCCCGCTGACATTGCTAGACGACGCTCGCAAGAATCATGATGAGGCCTACGAGGGCGGCCACAAGAGCCACTTGTCCCACGAAGTCGTGGCTAGAGGTGCTGCCTTCGAGGCGATGAAGAAGTGGGAGGATCACCAGAGAGTTGAGGGCAAGCCTGTCCCGCATGGCTTCGCCAAGGACGCCTTGACGGGCTTCACTAGTGCGGAAGAGGACAAGTGAGCAGAGTCCAAGGCCATGGACTACGTTGGCAAGAAGAGGGCCAAGCACAGCGCACAGCATCAGGCGCAGGATATGTACGACCAGCAGTACGGTGGCAAGAATGCCTATTAACGGTGAGTGCAAGCTTTGCTGCATTGACGATTGCTGATAAGATTAGGAATGCATCGCGTCGTCACCACTCGATGGACTCCTGATGTTTGAGACAGACCTGTATCTTCTCAAGATATCTGTTAGCTCAAGTTTGAATGTTGCCGCGCTTTGAACAGACCTATGCCCATCAGTGAGACATGAGAGACTCGGCAGTGCATTGAACTCGGGTCTGATCCGCCATGTGTGTATCACTATGCGACCCGGAACCTGGGGGCTGTCGATCACTGCGGGTATTGTAGAGTTCGCGGCCAGGCTCCATGTCGCTGGAGACGGCCAGGCTCCGCTGAACTCGTTGGCGAAAACAAACACGAGGAAATTGAGGAATTTTCGAGCGGCCGGCAACTTCACGCAGTAGCACGGATAGACCAACTGCCAAGCCAAAGTGAACCTTGGGCATATCAACTATTAGACTAGACCGGCAAAACATGGGTATTTGATGCAACATGAGATGAAGTATCCGCGCATGATTGTGGTCAGCTTGCCTTGTGTAGGTAAAGCTTGAACGACTCAGGACATTGGAATAGTTGTATGTGCAATAAATTAATCAATACTACATACTGACTAGCAGGGCCTTTCGGGTCGCTTGCCCAGTTGTGGCTGACATGTGGCTGGAGGATTCCGGACCCACCCGCACCACACCGTGACCGTGGCCGATATTGAGTGATTTGGCGGGAACAACAACTTGGAACACGGAGCATAACCCGCGCGAACGAGATGCAGCATGAATATACCTGCAAAGGAAAGACCGACCTCTGACCACAAGGATACGCCCCCTTAAAAGGACTACATGCCGCATTGTGGCCGCGAGTCAACCTCTCAAGTCACGAGCAGCAAGCAGCCTCTGACGCGGTTCCTGCCAGGCTGTCACTGGCTTGGCCTCTGACCCGATCCAGATGCGGGTGCCCCACCAAGCGCCAAGAGCACCCACTTCAATCACCAATTGGGTCACGTCAAGCACTTGACCCCTGGCCCCCTGAAGCTGCCCCTGGATTTTTTTCCCCATCACAGGCTACAGCCAACAAGCACCCTTTCGTCTTTCGGTGTGATTGATGGAAGGACTGGAGCGGATACCGCCTTCCCCTTTTTCCAGGATCTCGTTGCTTCTACGAAAGCCAACCCAACCCTGCTGGCCAACTTCCCTCAGATTTGGCTTGGGGCGAGCATTCCATACACGCACGCATTCTTTGTCGTTCTTGAAACAAGACTCTGCTTCTTTTCCAGTAGAGCTGCATCGACGCTCGCTGTACGTACTAGTGCGCCTTGCTGCGTCCCGCTCTGCGCCGAGAACTCTGCGCGGTCCGCGGTCAGACGCGTGTTTATTAATTACTACGTGCTTCCCATACACCCGACATAACCTGGGGCTTTGAAACCTGCGATCCGCTTGTCTCGCATCCCCGACCTTCTGACAGCGTAAAAACAGCTATCTCGACGTCGGTTTTGCGCATCTTCATCGCGACGAATACGACCAGCGACGCCAGCCTATGCAGGCCTGTCAGTCTTGACACCCTCCCGCAGGGGCATTTGACCAACACCGACCAACATGATGGCTTCTTCACCACCAGCCTCCCCCAGCCCGGGCAACCGTCCGCCGAGCGCCATCGCGAGACCTGCAGGACGGAGCAGCAGTCGACTCAGCATGAATGGCAGCAAAATGACGGCCGGCAGCAGAGCCTCCGATGAGGACAGCCGCACAGCTGTCAAAGTCGGTGAGTATGATCGCGATGCGGCATGGTGCCGTGCGCTGACGAGAAACAGCCGTTCGAGTGCGACCGCCTCTGAAGCCCGAGGACCCCGGCTACGAACTGATACCCCAGCGCTTCCAGCGATCAATGGTGCAGACGACCTCGAGCACGAGCCTGGCCATCGATTCTCCACAAGGCCGCAAGCTGTTCGTCTTCGACCGCGTCTTCGAATCCGACGTGATGCAAGAGGGGATCTGGGAGTACCTCAGCGACTCGATAGACGCCTTCACCAAAGGTTTCAATGTCTCGGTACTGGCCTACGGTCAGTCCGGCGCCGGCAAATCATACACGATGGGTACCTCTGGGCCCGGCGAGCAGCTGGACGAGGAGATGATGGGCGTCGTGCCGCGTGCTGCCCGTGCATTGTTCGAGAAGCTCGATGTGCCTACGGGGACCGCGCCCAGCAAGGCCTCCAAACGGAGCTCGCTCTCACACCTCAAGAGCCGGGGCGCCTACGGCGCGCAAAATGCGCTTGGCGACCGCAACTGGTCTCTGAAAGCCACCTACGTGGAGATCTACAACGAGCAGCTCCGCGACCTCCTCGTCGCAGACAGTACGCCTGTTGGCGAGCGCAGCAACGTGGCTATCCGCGAGGACGTCAAGGGCAACATCATCCTGACCGGCCTGCGCCAGGTTGACATTACTAGCGTCGAGGATCTCATGGGCGCCCTCAACTTTGGCTCCTCTATCCGCCAGACTGACGCCACCGCCGTCAATGCCAAGTCCTCTCGTTCCCACGCCGTCTTTTCTCTGAATCTGATCCAGCGCAAAGACAAGTCCGCCGCCGAGAAAAGGTTCTCCGTGCCGATCGAGGCTATGTCCGGCCATGAAGCACCCGTTACTACCGACAGCAAGCTCCATTTTGTCGACCTTGCGGGAAGTGAGCGGCTGAAGAACACGGGGGCGCACGGCGATAGGGCTCGGGAGGGTATCTCGATCAATGCTGGCCTTGCATCCTTGGGCAAGGTCATTAGCCAGCTTTCGTCCCGCCAAGCTGGCTCGCACGTGTCCTACCGCGACTCCAAGCTGACACGACTACTTCAAGACTCGCTCGGCGGCAACGCGTATACTTACATGATTGCCTGCGTCACGCCAGCCGAGTTCCACCTGAGCGAGACGCTGAACACTGTTCAGTACGCGCAGCGCGCTCGGGCGATTCAGTCGAAGCCTCGCATCCAGGAGGTGGACGAGGGCGACAAGCAGGCTGTCATTGACCGCCTCAAGGCCGAGGTGTCCTTCCTGCGCGAACAGATCCGCAACAGCGCTGGTCGCGCCGAGGCCAGCCCACGTCGTCTCCAGGCCGGCGCCAGCGACAAGATTGATCGTCAGAGCGAGCGTGAGGCCGAGCTACAGAACCAGCTGCTCGACACCCAGGAGAATTACACGGCCTTGAGCCAACGTCACGCAAAGCTCATTGCCGAGCTCGCGAGGGCACGCGAACATGAGTCGTATGGCGAGCTCCACGAAGCGGATGGGACGCACGACAGCGCCGATGACCGCATCAACCGCTCCAACTCTTTCGCCCAGGCTGTCGAGCAGGTCGTGATGGAGTATGAGAAGACCATTCAATCGCTCGAGCAGTCCCTCTCTAGCACTCGTGGCACGCTGTCCAGCACCGAGGCCAACCTTCTTGAGAAGGAGACCAAGTGCGCCTACGTGGACACCATCAACGTGCAGCTGCAGGCACGCTTGCAGAAGCTCCAGGACCGCGAAACTAACACAGAGAGCTACCTTCACGACCTCGAAGCCAAGCTTGATGGCCACACGAGCGGTGAGGAGAAGAACGCAACTATTGTCATGGAGCTGCGCAAGGAGCTGGCTCGCGTTCGTGAGAACGAGGCCTCGTGCGAAGACTACATCTCGACCTTGGAGGAGCGTCTCGCTGAGGCTGACCAGGACTCTGAGCTCATGCAGCGGGAGATTGACCGTCTGGAGCAGGTAGTCGAGCGTCAGCGCAGCCTGGGCAAGCTCGACAATCTGCTGCAGGAACTTGATGAAGTGCCCGAGTCGAAGCAACCCGAGCCCGGCAGTCAGCCGGCGCCCAACGGTCATCGCAAGCGCAGCAGCACCGCTGGCCACTCCCGCGCACAATCGCACGTCAGCCGCCACAGTCATATGGAAGATCCGATCCCGGAGGACGACGAGGATGTTGCGCTAGGAGAGCCCAAGATTGCGACCGTCAAGGAGGAGGCCGAGGATGCGGCTGTCGAGACGCAGCCCACGGAAGATACGCCGGCACAGAACAGGTATGTGCAAGACAAGCTGGAGAATGTCACGCAAGAGCTGCTGGACCTCCGCGTCGACCACGAGACCACCGTCAACCAATACGATATGCTGCACTCCAAGTACGAGGAGGCCATGGCCAAGCTTGCCGAGCTTCAAGACGCCATGGACGAGGCCCGTCACAGCAAGCAGCGTGCTCGCGATTCCATTATCTCGCAAGTTGGTCCAAGCCAAGCCGCTTCGGTTGCGTCGGAGGCGGGCGAAGGCGATGCGAAGACTGGAGTGCGTTCCTCTGCATCTCGGTCGCTGTCGTCAGAATTGTCGTCAGCCATTGACTCGCCGGCTACTGCGGGTACATCGAACGGGGACCCCGTCTCGGACGACGACGCGGCCACAGCCAAGCCCACATCGTCGACTGACGACGTGACATTGCACCGTTCTCCGTCCTCGTATGGGGCGAACCGGCAGCTGGAGGGCGAAGTCCAAAGGCTGAAGGTCCTGGCCGAGGAGAGCGAGCAAGCGGAGAGGGAGCTGCTCGAGCGATACGCCCAGCTCGAGAGCAAGCACACCGAGGCCCTTGACATGGTCGAAGAACTGCAGAAAGAGGTGCAGCGAGCCAGGGCCAGCGAGACAAGCTCACCGCGGTCGCCGAACCCCATCATCCGACGCAAGTCCAGCCAAAACCTCCTCATCGACCGCGCCCACCGCGCGTTCTCGTCTTTGCGGAACATCGCCAACGACAACCTCGCCGGCAAGCCCGAGACGATGCAGAACTTTGAGATCAATATCACGGCGGCCATGCACGAGCTGCACCAGCGCAGTGAGCGCATCCAGGAGCTAGAGGCCGACGTTGCCTCCACGAAGAAGGAGATGGAGACCAAGATGACCATCATCTCTGGCCTCACACGAGAGCGGAGCAGTCTCAAGGCCAGCCCGATGGACATGTCCATGGTGGCCAACATGCGTGACCAGCTGGAGCAGAGGGAGGCGCAGATGAACTCGATGCGGGACGCGCACGCATCGCGTGAGAAGGAGCTCACAGCTGAACTGGAGACTCTACGGAGAGCCATGGCCGACCCTGAGATAGCCGAGACGCCATCCTCGAACGATGAGACGATCGCCAGGCTCGAGGCCGAGTTGGCAGCTTGGGCAGGCAAGCACCAGGCTGCGCTTGATACCATGCAGACCCGGGAGTCTCAGCTGCGGGACACAGTACAGAAACTGGAGACCCAGCTCGGAGACGCGCAGTCCCACGAAGTTGTGTCACATGCGCTCGCTGCCGGTGACGTGGAAGCCAACGAGGCCGCACAGAAGCATGAGAACCTCATCCAGTTCCTCCGCAACGAGATTGACGAGTACAAGGCCATTATCAACAGCAACGCAACCAAGGTTGCAGAGCTCGAGAGGGCGCACGCAGACACCAAGGCGGAGCTCGAAGAGGCCGTACAGGCCCGCGGCGCCCCGGCGGAGGGCGGCTCCCTTCACGAGGAGCTTCTCGCTAAGCTGGAAGAGCAGCTCGCCTCGCATGAGGAGGCCGCCAAGACGCACCACAAAGCCATGGAGGCCCTCAAGTCGAGCCACACGCAGGAGCTCGCCGAGCTAAAGAGCCGCGAGCAGAAGGGGTACGAGGAGCAGGTGGCGGTGCTGCTCAGCGAGCAAGCCGAGTCTGGGCAGAGGCTCGAGGCTGAGCTGTCGTCGGCGCGCGAGGAGCTGATGGCCATTGCGACGCAGGTGGCCACCGTGCTTGGGCTCGAGGCTAGCACGGAGAAGCTCGGGGAGCGCATCGAGGCGTTGGCTGCGGACCGCAAGGCGCTGCAAGAGGCGACCAAGAAGACGGGCGAGATGGAGTCTCACGTCGCGGAGCTGTCAGCCATCAACGAGACCATCATGAAGGATCTGGAGGCGGCCAAGGCGGCGCTGGTGGACGTGGTGCCCGATAACGCATCGTCGGTCGTGGCCCAGGTGACGGCGGTCAAGAGCAAGCTCACAGATCTCGAGGGCCGCAACAAGAAGAACAGCCGCCTGGTCGAGGAGCTGGAGGAGCAGCTGCAGAACAACTACGACGAGGCGCAGATGACCAACAACCGCCTCAGCACGCTGCAGAGCGAGCGCAACTCGCAGATTGAGGAGCAGTCGGCGGCGCGGGTGCGCATGCAGGCCGAGCTGGACACGGTGCGTGAGGAGTACGCGACGCTGCAGGCCAAGTACGAGGAGGTGATGACGAATGCGGACGCGAAGCGGTCGAGCTCCAACTCGGTGGTCCGCAAGAGCGCGTCGCACGCGTCGCTGCCGTCACCGCCGCCGGCGATCCCACTTCCGCCTCTGCCCAACGGCGCGCAATCACCGCCGCCGACGGCCAACGGGCTCCCGCCGAGCTCGCCGACGTCGTCGCTGCGGCCGGCGAGCAAGGACCAGTTCAACATCTCGCAGATCACGGAGGACCAGGAGGCGCGGATCCGGACGATCGAGAAGCACCTGTACGCGGAGCGGCAGCTGACGCAGACGCTGGAGGAGGCGCTGACGGACCTGGAGAAGCAGACCAACAAGGTCAAGGCGGACTGCGACGCGTGGAAGAAGAAGGCGGGCACGCTGGAGACAGAGGTCAAGGAGCTCCGGGAGCGGGTGACGCCCGAGACGCAGCAGGACAACCGCTGGAGCGTGCAGGCGGTAGAGGAGGAGCGCAAGAAGCGGCAGGCAGCCGAGGCGGCGCGCAAGCAGCTCGAGGACCGCATGAACGCCATCAACAAGGGCAAGAAGAAGAAGGGCAGCCTGAACTGCTTCTAGTCGGGGCTGCGCCTGAACTGCCTCGCACGACGACTCCGACGACGTCGCCTGGTCACGTTTCTTTCCTTGCTTTCTTTTCTTCTCGTCTCGCTCTCCTTGTTTCCTCTTCTTTTCCTCGGCCGGAGTTGGTGGTCGTTTGTTTGACCTTGCCTCGCACACGCTGCAACCACACAAACATTGTCCCATGAGAGATGTATGCTGCGCTTCCTTTCCTTCTTCCAACGTTCTTCGAACAGCCCCACCCCTTTCCTCTTGGTTTTTTATTTGTATTTTTGTTGCTGTTCTATCTTTGGCATTGTGCGCATCTTTGCACTTTCGGATGGAGGAGCGACCACAGAAGGGCAGGGAGATGGCGAATGAATTTCACGACTGATATCCTGCGCCCTGCATAATTGTGTTGGGTGGCTTTGGGGTAGACTGACTTAGTAGCCTGTGTTTTGAGTGTACATATGCCCGCGGGGCTAATTTAGAAGAGATCTTTTAATTACCCTTCTGCTCCTTCTTGTGATGATGTCTCCTCGGACGGCAGGGTCTCGGGGAACCATCCATGGGTGTCAAAGTCGACGCTGAGTTCCCCCATGGCGTTTTCTGTGACCGTGACGCCCTCTGCACGCAGGGTCTCTGCCTGGTTGCGTGCACCGGATGGGGCCGACCTGGCTGTTATTAGCTGGCTTTGTCGGTGGGTTTGTGGCTAGAAAAGAGGAGCGTCTCTACGTGCGTACCTTGGTGAGATAAGGCCCTTTGCGTTGATGACACGCTGCCATGGGACGTTGCCATTGTGGTGGCGCATGGATGGGTCGGCGGGCAGATGTTTGAGGCAGACGCCTACCTGTCTCGGACGCTGGGCTGCATGTGTGGTGTCTCGTGAGCATGCATGCATACTGAGTAGGTTCATCTCGCCCAAGACTGGACGGACAGATGGCACTCACGATAGCCACAGAGCGCGGCGATGCTGTGAGCGTCAGAGGCATGCGTGCGTGCGTTCGTGCGAGAGACTGCGTCAATACGTACTGTCCATATGTGGTGACCCGGCCAACGGGGATCTCCTGGATCGCCGAGTACACGCCAAAATAGAAGGCGTCGGCCTCGTCAGACCTCACCATGGTGATTGCAGTTTGGGCAATGGGGGCATATAATGATGGCGAGGTCTCGTGTTGAGCATAGGGCGAGGTGGTGACGCACTAACCAGACATGTGCATGTCGTCTCTGGTGCAGATATGCACCTAACGCGGTGCTCGTATAGGGCACGTCTGAGGGCAGCATTGGCATGAGAATAATATTCTAGTGCCTTGCATTGAACTCTGTGATCGAAACGATCCAATTTTGCTTCTATTCTATTCATGAGTCTTTCTTTGCACTTGACGTTGCTGTCGCTGTGGGAGGGCGAATGGCAGCCCTCTTGATGTGGCACAAGATGGCTTCAGGGTGCGCTGGTCTGGTCTGGCCAATGGTGATGGAATCATGCTTGGAGATATTATGGGTGAGACGTTGATACAATTTGATTGGCTACGCAGCCAGTGTTTTTCTTGCCCCTGATTGCGATCCATTCAGGGGCAATATGGCCTCCTTGTCTTGGAGGTGGGTACCTCTTGCTTACCCTACAGAAGGTGCGACTACGTCATTGTCTCGGCAGGCCCAATTGACCGGATCTCCCCTCTCACTCTCCCTTCAACCACGTTTGACAGCTTCATGTTGGCAGCTCGCCTTGTTCCTAGTCCTAGGCTCTATCTCAGCTGGCTCATCAACGGCTTGCCGCTCTGCTAGTGAACCCGACTACCTTCACAGAGGCCAGGAAGGGCACGTCTGTGCGCACATGGACACCCGAGGCCACGATGCTGCGATGACCTTGGCAACCCCGACGACGTTCAGCCAACAGCCTACATTGGCCATGGTTCACGAGCGGCCGTCCTGTGGTGGTCAAAAGCCTCACAGGAATCGAGCTGTCAACCCCTGTCCTGGCCCTGGATCCCGATCTCGCGTCCCCACACGGGCACGTGTCGCGGCTCAATTTTTCTCGATTCCTAAAATTCCGCACCATCGAGCCATCAATTGCCTTGGATAGCCGAGCCTAGTCCGTGGCGCTTCTCTCACTCTACTTGTTCTTTACGTACCTACTCACGCAGTCCCAGGGCTTCTTATAGACAACTGCAGCGTCATCTGCTCCTGTTTGTCGCTCAGCTACTCATCTCACCTTAAACCACCCAACCCGACAATCAACATGGGTTCCATTCCGGCAACACGCTCTCGCTTCGAGGCCGTCGACCACAAGCCTCTAGGCGGCCCCTTCAAGATCGAGGCGGCGTATCGCGGCGACACCAGCGAGGATAAGGTCAACCTGGGCATTGGCGCGTACCGTGACGATGCAGGCCAGCCATGGCTGCTCCCGTCCGTGGCCGAGGCCAAGAAGCGCATGGACTTGCCCTCGTGCACCCACGAGTACTCGCCGCTGCACGGCCTAGACGCCTTCATCGAGCCCGCGCGCCGGCTCGTCTTTGGCGCGGAGCTGGACCCCGAGATCGCCCCCTTTGTCGCGTCCATGCAGACCGTGTCGGGCACCGGCGCCAACAGCATCATCGCAAAGTTCCTCGCCCGCTGGATCCAGCCCCAGCAGATCTGGCTGCCCGCCCAGACCTGGGACAACCACCCGCACATCTGGCGCCAGAACGCTCCGGCCATCCAGGTCCGCGACTACCCCTACTACGACCAGAAGACGTGCAGCCTCGACTTTGCCGGCCTCATGGCCACCCTCGAGCGCGACGCCAAGGAGGGCGACGCCATCCTCCTCCACGCCTGCGCCCACAACCCCACGGGCATCGACCCGACCGAGAACCAGTGGAAGGACATTGCCCTGCTGTGCGAAAAGAAGCGCATGTTTGTCGTCTTTGACTCGGCCTACCAGGGCTTCGCCTCCGGGAACCTCGACAAGGACGCCTGGTCCATCCGCCACTTTGCCACCCACCCCGACCTCGAGTTCGCCGTCTGCCAGTCCTTCTCCAAGAACCTCGGCCTCTACGGCGAGCGTGTGGGCGCCCTCCACATTGTCACCTCGAGAAACGCCACCCCAAGCGTCGCCCTCGCCATCCGCTCCCAGCTCGTCGAGATCCACCGCGGCGAGGTCTCCATCGCCCCGGCCTTTGGCGCCCGCGTCGCGACCACCGTCCTCACCAGCGAGGAGATCTTTAGCCAGTGGCTCGAGGACCTGGTCCTCATGAGCGGCCGCATCAAGGCCATGCGGCAGGCCCTCTATGACGAGCTCGTCGCCCTCGGCACCCCGGGCTCCTGGAAGCACGTCGTCGAGCAGACGGGCATGTTCTCCTACACGGGTCTGTCCACGGACCAGGTCACCGTCATGCAGGAAAAGTTTCACATCTACATGCTGCCCACCGGTCGCATCTCCATCTGCGGCCTGCGCGATGCGAATGTGAAATATGTCGCGCGGGCCATTGACAACGTCGTGCGCGAGGGCAAGGCGTGAGCGGCTTCACATAGACTAATAAAATAGAAACGTATTATGAGACCACGAATTTTTTGAGAGATTATAATATCGCACCACAAGGCATAATGTAATCTACCTCCATGTTCGACCTACGGATAAAAGGGGAGCGTGGAACACTTCTGTACTCTTGAATCCCCTCCATACCATAGTCCAAACCGCCCTCCCTGAGGGCCCTTGCGGCCATCACTCTCCGACGCGGGCGCGCTCACCACTTCGGGACCGGGCTGCTTGCTGTCCTAGCCGAGAATCTTCTGGTCCAGCTCCGTCTTCTCCTCGTCCCTGAGGTTGGTCAGCTGCACGGCCACCTCGTCGCCAAACTGCTGGCCAATTTCCTCCAGCGTCAGGCGCGCCGTCTCGGGCCAGAAGAAGTAGATGACGGGGATGAAGACGACGCTCCAGCAGATGATCACCAGGAAGAACCTCCAGCCGACCGCGTCAAAGGCAATGGGCGCCGTCTGCAGCAAGATGATGGTTGCTGAGGGATTAGCGCGGTCCGCTCAAGGCTGGCGTCCCGGTGCGCCCTCGACTTACATGCGTACTGGCCAAATAGAGAGAATCCGATGCCGATGGACCTGATCCCGGTGGGGAAGATCTCGCTGGTATAGAGGTACTGCGTGGCTTCAGCGGATGTATATCTGCCCCGTTGCTACGGAGTCAGAAGGAAAACATACCATGGTCGTGTTGCAGAACGTGCCCTGGAACGCCAGGTACAAGAACATGAACAGCACACCGACGGCTAGACAGACACAGATCAGCTACTCGTCTACACGCCGCACGCGTGAATCTCACCGTTGCCAGCTTTGTTGTCGGTGCCTCCGAACCGCGCAATCATGGCTGACATGACGGACGTGGTCACGACAATGCCGCAGAAGCCAATGATGTACATGAGATGGCGCGAATTGACCTAGCTCTGTCAGCACTGATCAACAAGCGGGATCACAGTCCTCCGTCTCACTTTGTCGTGAAGCCAAGCGCCCAGGGGGTTGTAGATGACACCTGCTGTCGTGAGCCACAGAGCGGAGAAAAGCAGTGGCATGTACCCCGTCTGACCGAGGCCGGTGTAGAGCAGGACTGCATAGTTGTTCTACCATGTCAGTCTCTACTCACTGCATGCACAAAGCGCCCGGTCGTACGAGCGGGCCACCAAACTCGGCACCCCACTGCGTAAGGAACCCAATGATCATCCTCTTGCGGTAGCTAGATTTCTGGACAACAGCCTTCCATGGACTGCCATAGACGGCCAGCTTGTCGGCATCGAGTCGCAGCTGTTCTTGGATCTGGTACAGCTCCTCATTGGCAAACAGGTCCTCGGGGTCGTCGGGCGATTGGCGCGGCCTCTGCAGCACCACCCACGCCTCCTCCTTGAGGCCCTGCGAGACCAGCCATCGGGCCGAGCGGGGGACCTTGGGGCTACCGGCGAGGAGGATCAGGGGCGGCACGCACTGGATCGCGAGGGGCAGACGCCATCCCAGCTCGAGGTTGCTCGCGAAGAAGATGCTGAATCCAGTCCACGAGCTCAGCATGTAGCCAAAGACGAGAAAGATGCTGAAAGAGGTGTCAATTTGGCGTCTTGTCAAGTGAATCAAGTCTCGGTAACACTCACGCGTGATGGCCGACGAGCCAGCCTCGGAAGCGAGGAGAGGACATCTCGGACAGATACATGGGCACGACGCAGGACATGGCCCCGACGCACATGCCCATGATGAAGCGTCCGGCCTGGAACATGCTGCGCCCGTACAACGAGGTCAGCGTGGCATGGGGAAGAATACGTACGGACTGCTGCTCACTCGAGATTCTGCGCGGTACTCTGCAGTGCGCCGCCCAGCACGCCCAGGACACAGGCGATCTGGATGGAGCGCACGCGGCCAAAGTAGTCAGACGCCCACATGACAATCAGGGACGCGACGGCGCCCCCTGCGGAGAAGAGGCCATTGGCCGTCGCAATGGCTGGTGTCGTGATGCTCGCGTACCCGTCCTCGCCTGCCGCGGGGAGGTTGAAGTACTGGCTGGCCAATGGTTGAGCCGATGATGCTCGCGCCGTACCTGAGCAGGTGTATTCGAATCAGCGGCGATACGTGAGGCGTGCGGGGAGTACAAACCCATATGTCTGCGAGTGTCAGCGGGAGCGTCTTCAGACAGCGTGCAGTTACATGGGGTAGACTTACCGTGCCGCCAAGGGCCACAAATGCAATCACGAGACGATTGTAGAGATTGATCTTCTGGTCGTGATGCTCCATGATGGGCGATGAAGTGCAGTAGGCAGATCGGAGATGGACTCGGACTGACAACCAAACAAAGAAGAGCAAGTTGAAAGGGAAAGGTGAGCGGAAACGCGAGGAGAAAGAACAGAGGCTCGGATGTAAACTTTCTTCCTCTGCCGCTGTACGTACTATCCCGAGGGAGAGGTGTCGTGCATGGTCGTCGGCCTTCGTCCACGAACCCACAAGGTGAGGTCCAAGGCTCTAGGGAGGACAGACGAACCCGGTCACCCGGCCGTTGCAACCTAATTTGCCTGTTTTCAATGTCCATGGAAGGGAAAACGTCTCGAAAATCGTGCTGATCCATGTAACCCGATGCTTGGACCCCGTTGCGCGCATGCAATGTAACCGCAAGAAAGTGAGGTGTCAGTGGTCATGTCCGACGCGCAGCATGTGCAGGGATATCGCATCAGGGGCCGCTATCCGTACCAGTCTGTGCTTACTTGGCTTGTGCATAAACCAGAGCAGCGTACGCATAGAATTCGTGTGCTCGAACAGACAGACTGACTGAGTGACTGACACTGCCACTAGAATCCGCCATGGCTGATCTGTCGATGATGGAAAAGAGCTGGGAGGAGCTCCCCAACCCCAAGAGAGTCCGTATACATCTGTGTGAGCGACTCTATCCCGTCGACTAAGCAGACATCAGGTATGGATTGGCGAGCCAGGCTCGCGCGAGGAGGGTCTGGGACGACTGGTTCTCCTCACCAAGGAAAGAGTGCTGGCCGCGGCCAAGGATGAGATTCAGCAGGGCATCCGTGTCAACCTGGGTTGGGACCTGAACAAGCTGGAGTTCGCCTGCTTCAACCGTCAGCCGTGCAAGCTGGAGATGGTCCCGCTGCTAGATGGCGTTGCTTTTGACGACATTTACACACTCAACCCTCGTAAGACAGGCTACGTGCGGGATGCAATTGACTATAAGACGAAGCATGCCTAATCTAGAGACGCAGAGCAATCGTCGCAGTGCGTACATGAGATCTGAGCTTCGTGAGTAGACAGATAGCCTTGCAACTAACAATGTGTTTCACAGATGGGACGGGTTGAGACACTTCTCCCAGCCACTCGAGGAGGGCCCTTCCGAGAGAGTCTTTTACGGCGGCTGCACCAAGGAAGAAATCCTCGATCCCGCGTGTGACAGGATTGGCATCCAGCACTGGGCACAGGAGGGAATCACTGGTATGTGAATCCAGCGCCGAACCGGCGGCCAAAACTGAAGCATGAACAGGCCGTGGCGTCCTCATCGACTACGTCTCCTACGCTGAGAGGAAGAGCATCGAATACTCGACCTTTTCTCTGCACACAATCAAGCTGTCTGAAATTCTGGACATTGCCCGCGAATGCAACATCGAGTTCCGACGCGGCGACATGCTCTTTGTCCGGATCGGCGTCACCAAGGAGTGGGAGCAGCGCATGACCCGGGAGGCGAAACAAACCTACGCCGCGAGCACCAGCCCCCAGCACGCCGGTGTTGAGGGCACCCTGGACATGCTCCAGTGGCTCTGGGACACGGGCTTCGCGGCCGTCGCCGGCGACGCCATCAGCTTCGAGGTCTACCCGCCCCAGGCCGGCGGGGTCTTTCTGCACGAGTACATGCTGGCAGGCTGGGGAATGCCCATTGGCGAGTTGTTTGACCTCGAGAGGCTGGCGCAGATCTGTCAGGAGCTCGGCCGCTGGTCCTTTTTTGTTTCATCTTCGCCGTTTAATATGCTGGGTGGTATCTCGTCTCCACCAAACGCTCAGGCTGTATTCTAGGTTTTTGTATAGGCAATGCAATCTGCTTCTAGGCAAGACTTCACTGCTCGACGAGACCATGACTGGGCTGTGGCTTGGATCCATCTCACTAGTAGTTGCATGTCGATGATGACTTATAACTGGCCTCAGGATACGAAGTACGTAAGTACCTAAAAAGACTCGAGTAAAATCAGACCAGGGTGATAATCCAATATGATATGGGGAGGCCCTCAGGCCCTCGGGCACACAGGCGTGTCGCTTCATGGTGACCAACGCCTATAACCAAAGCGATTCTGTTGAAGATTGCTTCTCACGTAATTATCAGATGCGTGCCGGTCGTCGACTGAGGATCGCTACCGCTTTTGTCCCCACCGATCAACCGACCAACATCCATACAGCGACGGAAGGATTGTGAGATGTGACCGCGGAAGCCGGACGGGCCTCCGTCCCCCACTCCGCGAGCGGCTGCCGATCGTTTCCCGCCCACACCTCGCGCGTCCTCTCGTCTCCTCGAGTGGTCCGAGAGCCTGACAGGCCGGCAGTTAAGATTTCGCGCCATGGGTGTCCCCGTTGGCGTACCCGCTGCCGAACCTTCCGTCGTCGGTCATCAAGGCCAAGCCACGCGCCAGAAAAGCCCACATGATCTCCGTCGAGAACATTGATAGGGAGTCGTTGTGAGTCAAATATTGAGACGCAGAGGCTTTTGTGGTCATTGAGTCTTGTGCAAGTCGTCCATTTCACAGCTGCTCTCCTTGGACGACGACCTTGGGTCAAACCCATCACGGTTATGCAGGCCCAACTTTAACTACAACTTGTCAGAAATGGCCAGGTATGCACTATTAACAGGGTCAGCACGGACCTTGCCAACTGCTACTTGAGTAACATCGTTTCACCCCGAGACCCATCACAGCCGGAGCGAAAGATGCGAATGTCAAGTTGACACCCCAGGGGCGTCATTGGACAGCGCACGGTACTTATATCGCCGTCCCTTTAAGAAGTTCTGTCATATCTCGTCGGCCCTCGCTGTCACTCTCCTGGCGTGGACTCTATAGACTAAGAAGTAAGCGGTGACGGTGCCATTGGGCACTGCCCCTGAAGTCTTCAATGGTGTCTCGGCCATCACTGTCTTGAAGATTTGTGCCGTCGATCTATCGCCCCTTTGGACCAACACTGTCATGCGTTGTTTTATCGGTTGTCGTGTCATAAGACATGTGTTTAGTGCCGTGTGGTTTGTGCCCCTCGTCTCCGGGAAGACGAGTCTTTCAAAGAAACTGCGAGAGGTGTTGTTTAGTCTTTTTTTGCCTGCAGTCCATAGCGTCCTTTCAAGAGACCTCCATCAGACTAGACCTTCACACCCACAGCCATGGCGCTCGAGCCTGGCCTCGAACCCCCCTCGGGGCAGGTGTCAAACTTTGACAACCCCGACCGCCACATGTTCTACTACTGCATCGCCGCCAATGTCACGGGCGTCGCTGTCACGACGGTCTTCATGGGGCTCCGCCTGTGGGCGCGGCGTCGGTTGAGCATGAGGCTGCAGGCAGACGATGGTAAGTTCTCGATTTGGTCAAAGGATGCACTTCCGCGACGAGTGGCCGTCGTTGACACGTCGCAGTGGCCTGCATCGTTGGCTACGTGAGTACAGGCCAGCCCTGGAAGTGACGGCGTAAACACTGACAATGCAGATTGGCTTTGTGATCTACTGCGGGATATGCCTACTCAGTATGCTGGAAAAAGCTATACGATCGTCTCGCCAACACAGCTAACGACCGCAGTGCTGAGATTCGGCGGCGGAATTCACCAGTGGGATGTCGTGGCGTCGGCTGTGCCTTCGTATAACCAGGCAAGGGTGCCCAGAACAGATATGGTCCGAGTGACACTGGCTGACCAGAGCCAGGCAGTATACGCGACCATGGTCAACTACGGCCCAACGGTGCTCGCGACAAAAGCCGCCATCCTCCTCTTTCTCAACCGCATCTTTGCGCCCTACAAGGGCTACGTCGCGCTCATCTACAGCTTTCTCGGGATCATGGCCGTCTACTACACCGTCATGTTCTTCCTCAAAATCTTCATCTGTCGGCCGATCCCCGTGTTTTGGGGCGAGGGCGAGGGCGAGTGCTTCAACCAGCGCGTGCTGATCTTGGTGGACAATGTGATCAGCCTGATGAGCGACATTGTTGTCTTCCTGCTGCCCTGTCCCCTCGCCAAGCAGCTGCAGGTCGGTCTGATGGCCAAGGTCAAGATTGCCGTCGTGTTTGGCGTGGGTGGTATCGCATGCATCTTCAGCCTGATCCGGCTGATCTTCATTATCAACCGCGGCAACAGCCCTGACCAGACCTATGTGTTCATGGAGATCAACCTCACGGGGTGCGTGTTTTCTTCAGCTCCTTTCAGGGGCGATGCCATGTTGCTGACGATGCTAGTGTCGCCGAGGTGGGCATAGGACTCGTCTGCGCCACGCTGCCCCTGATGCCAGCGCTGTGGAAGTCCATCCGTCACGAGGAAAAGGTTGGGTACTGGTCGCAGGCCAACTCCAATTTTGAGATGTTCGACTCGCACAAGAGGTCACGCAACGCCACGCGCGACCAGACGGCGGTCACGTACAACGACCCGATCGACAGCGACGAGCATACATTGATACCGGGCAAGGGCTGTGTGACGACGCAGATCCAGGGGGGAGGCGAGGGCCCGGGGAAGGAGAGCGCAGGGTCAGACGCCACGGATACTCAGGGCAAGCCTCGAATCATGCTGACCACCGAGGTGAGGCAGACGCATGAGGGCTGATGGGTGATTCTCGGGGAGTGGCACGTAGCTTGCGTTTAGAAAGAGTTTCTGTAGGTCGTTTATGCCCGATAGTCCCGGCGCGGCTAAAGAGAGCAGAGCTGAGCTGCGGGACGCTAACAGATGTGCTGAGATGTCGCATCAGCGGGTATTTCCGGGTACTAGTCAGTCTCGATGCTGGGCTTGTGCATAAATCAGATAGTTATAGTTTCTTATTAATTCATCATCTAATTATAATCATGAGCAATATCTATTCATTTTGATTTCGAAGATAGTTTTCTATCGTTTAGGTATCTCGTTTAATTAAAGAAAATCCTCCACGTACTCCTGATAAAGCTTCATGAACTTATCAATATCGAATTTCTCTTTTTCGAAAGAACTTTCTTCTAGTATCTGCTTCGCTGTCGTCGAGTATGTATTCTTAAACAAACGAAAGAGTTGTGGTCTGTGTCGAGGATTCGGAATGAAGCAGCCATTATCACCAGTGACCATCGCGCTCCTGAAAGCCTGGTACACCTCTTCAGCAGGCTTTGACATGTCCACCTCATCGCATTGACCATAGTCGATCAGGAAGAGTCCAATCTTGCGCTGCTGAAATCGTTGTTGGCGACCCGGGACAGTGGCAAGGGAGGAGCCAAGGACGAGCTCAACATCGTCGCCGTTGACATGAGCAGCCCAGTGGAGTATGGCGTAAGCACTTCCTAAGGCCTGGGTAATTGTTTCAAAATCAGTTTCGCATCGCTCCAGATCCTCAAAGCCAATTATAAAGTTTCGCAGAGAGAAGTTGGCTTCTGTGTATACCTTGCGAGGTATGCCGAGGTAAGGGCGCACAAGACAGTCCTTGTTGGAGACGACGTTCAAGGCCCACTTGATGATTTGCCCCTTCTCGCTATCTGAGACACCTCTGGGAAACGGGTAGAATTCTTCTATGAGTGCCCGTCGAATGATCTTGGGTAAAGGGAGGACACGTTCCATTATCACTATATCGGACTGAACCCGGCAGTCAAGAGGGAGCTTGGGTAGAAGGGTTGGCCAAGCGTTGTTGTCTTGAGCGGCAATGAATTTCTGTGCGGCAGGGACAACCACATCGCAATGGATGGACGAGTGATTTCGATACTTTTCGAAGGCATCCCACACCAACTGGTGGAGGTGGAATTCGTTCTTCAAGTTGCAGGCCATCAACGAGTTCTGGATCTTCTCCTTCTTGAAGACCATAGGCTTTCCGACTTGCTCGAAGATGGTGCCTTGGAGGCCTGCGCCAATTTCGCGGATGATGTGAAGCTGCGGGTTGCTTGCAGTAGCTTCGAATAGTTCGGCGAAGGATGAAGTCGTGGAGACGACGGATCGAACAGAAAGCGAACGTCTGAGAATCTCAACGCCATGGGAATTTTGGTGCTCAGATGCTTCAATAAAACGGAAGCTTAAAAGAGCGGCTTCGATTGTTGATGGGGTCAGCGAAGCGGCTGACTCGTCGGTCTGATTGAGGTCACGTCGGGATGCCATGTTGTTGATGGAGTGAGGTAAGAGGAGAGTTCCTGGAGAGAAGCGGGGGGTCTTATATAGCAGAATCTCAGTTATTCTGATCAAAGTGATTGCATAAGAGTGTGACACCCTGTGCATTTGAGTTTTGGCGTGATGATCAAGCGCCTGTGAAGACTGGGTAAGGATAAACAAAGTTAACGCAAAACGCCTTTCCTACTTGAGGCTTGGCGATAGATACGCAGTCAATCTACTGCATTTCAGTTTTGACTTCCGGTCTAAGTTTAAGTTAAGACTGGCGCTACGGCTAAAAAGTTTCTTTATGTCCAGAGTGCAAGGAAACAAAAGCAAGCGGGGAGGCTCCTAAAACGTAACAGATAATAGAGCTAAGGGAGCCCACTCAGCCTTTTGACTTGACGTGTTGTATTCTATATGATGAACTCTAGATTGATCCAGATGGATTGGATGAATCAGCTGAATGCTGCTGTAACGAAGCAGTCTCGTGGTTAGGTTGAGATGAGGCCTTGGAATGAGACAGACCACCAGCCCTCGGAATATATCGTAGCCCTCAGAGAAAAAGATCAAAGAGGCTCGTCTGATTATAAGAAGAAGGAGTCCTATCCAATTTCGCCGACCATGGGCTCGGGCGATGTAGCGCTGGAGCATGCCCTGGTCGTTCTATGGATGAGTATTGCCCCGAAGCTTCAAAAGTGTAAAGCCAAGAGGGTGAAGATAAGTTATCCTAACATCGTCATGGAATCCTTGCACTTATGTGTGATGCCACTTTGCAGCTGACCTTCTTATCTATAGTTCCTGGACATTGATATCTAGTATGCTGTGAGGTATCGAGCATCGAAAAACATAATCTTTCGTCTTCTATTGAATCCTCTTCCGCATCGTAGATGAGGTAGTGAATGACAAGTCCAAGAATAAGAACGAGCTATTGGTGGCCTCGTGACAGGACGACAGGTTAATATATACCCTGACTATACAGTGTCTACTACCGTAGGATGTTATACATCCGCAGCGTTTGTTATTCTGCAGTCTTCACGGCACCTTCGCCTGCTGGACGTACTTGCCGTGCTTGAGAATGAGCGGCACAGAAATACTGGGCTCCCGTCCTGGGTGCCCCAATAGGATTCCGAGTTAGGACCGGAAACGGACCCTGGCCAAAGGCTACCATCGCTACTCCAATCTGCGAAGAGTGTCGGCCAAGGAGATCGAAAAGAACTCATGTATAATGCAAGTCTCCGTCGGCAAGTTACTCATTTGGACCTGATCAAGCCAGATACGCTGGTATTGAACAGCTTGGTGGTGGATAGAATTGTCGATCTGGGCGACGCATTACAGTTTCCAGTGTCGTTTCACAGCCAACTCGGAGGTTATCTATTTAATTTGAACACTCGCGCATCTTGGACCTTGGCGATGGATGAGCTCAGTGACGCCTTGGCCTCGTGGAAAGGACTGGGCATCCACCGTGTGTACTGCACCGGCATCAGGCACTTTGACGCCTTTCTGTCCGCTACCCATGGCCCCGGCAGGGACATGACACAGGCATCACGGCATCTTGAAAATGTCATCCGTCTCACCGACGCATCGAGCGGTGGCTTTTCGAAGATGGCCGGTGCTGCCCTGGGCGCAGTGTCCACGACCTCGAAGCACACACTCCAAGGGCTTCTCTAGCTTCGAATGGCCGAATGGGGGTTCAAAGCGGGACCTTCTCTACCCCATTGCTGAGACAAACGTCTTACAAGAGCGCCAATATGCTTTCTTGGGTTGCTGCCGTCTTCAGCAGCGGCGGAAGATTCCATTGCCCTCCTCCCGGGAGCAAACACGCCGATGGTGATACGGGCGTCTGGGAGTAAGTGGATTCTGGTGGGTAACTGCTATGTCCATGGTATAGTGCATGGTGAAGCGTAGGATGAGAGTCGAGTAGAGCGTTTGAAACCCATTTTAGACGATGTGGCTAGCTGAACCTAGTGAACAAGAAGGCCGACCACAATGTCAGCGCATTCAGTGGCACGCGAGAGCAAGGTTTTAGAGAAGAAAGCCAAGTCATCGATTGACTACTTAAAAGAACGCGTCCCAGTTTAAATGAGCGCCAAGACAGACATGGCCTCTTGCATTTTCCTTCCTTGCCAACTCTCAACTGTTTGGATTTCGGAGATGGCGAATCAAGGGAATTGGAAGCCTTCGGGAACACAGTAAGGACTGCCACTTGGCGGATAGAACTGGCACACCGTATCAGGGGGGCAAGTACCGGCAAACTAATGTCACGATCAGAGTCAGACAGTTGTATAACAAGAGAGATGGGGAGACATACAACCCAGCGGCCTGAGGTGTTGCAGACCTGCCACCCATTGCTATCCTTGGTGCACGCGTACGTGGCAGGCTTGCACTGCGGCTGAGCGGCGGCGAGAGCTGCCAGGGAAGCGATAGTAAGGGCAAAGAGCTGCATCTTGGTGATTATGATTGAATTGAGAGATCTGAATCAGAGGGTAGAGAACTTTGGGTTTGTTCGATTGCTTGATATGCTTGCTTGTCTCCGTGCGTAGTGATGGAGAACTTGTGCCATGGGCCGATGGGATACCACAGCTTCCTTTAAATGTTTCGCATACCAAGGAAACCAAGAATGGATACAGATGTTGATTCGAGCTCCCCGTACGAGGGAAGTCCTTGTGATCGATCATGCGTGCGTGCCCAGAGGGCGCCGCCATTCTTCGTATCGTAGAGCGGCGTGGTAGACATCATACTATTATTAGGAACTATTGGGATCACAATGTCTCAGCCTCTCGGGCTCGTGAGCAGAGATCATACGGTTTACCGCGAGAACTCGGCTCCTCGGCCCCTCACCCAACATGCAGGCTGATGTGGTGGCTGATCGCAGCTCAGCCGATACAACTTCCGAATGTCACTGCACTTTAGGACCGCCCTATGGTCGATTTCGACCCCAATATGTATTTAGTCGCTTGTCGAGGAGCCCCGCAATTTACTACCCCCTCAGAATGCCTAGCTGAACTCTGAAAATCCCCAACGTCGATGGCGCCAGCCTCAACCTTTGATTCGTGGGGAGTCTTGGAGGCCTGCATTGTGAATACGAGCTGTGGCGGCGTGGTGTAGCCATAAAATTCCATACCGAGACATGCAGCCATAAGAAATGAAGGGCACTTGTGTCTTTTCTATAGGCTCGAGGGAACGGCAGGGAGATATGATCCTCTGTTTATAGCAACCGTAGGGGGGCTTGTAGCAAGGAAAGAAAGATCGTCGGTACCGGGAGCGTCACGGCGAAGATATCAGCTGTACTCCGTAAGTGAACTAGCTACAATAGGGAGCTTCATAAAGATCGGCAGCTTCAAATTACACGAGGTCTACAGAAGAGCTGCATAACCTCCATAATTGTAGCGTTTGCAGTGGCACAGACCCGGTGCATATATATTAGCATAAGCCCCTCTTCTCTTTTTAGACTAGATCGTACAGTAAAATATGATCCTAAGCTATCCCACCATCTAGGTATCTCCACTAAATCGTGTATTTTTAGGGCACCCTCTACGCTATCATATGCGTGTAAATGTGTTTACACCCGTGATGCGCTCATAGGTCTCCTCTTCATTGAGTGTCGTGTCTTCTTTAGTATCCTGTACCTACCACCTACTCTTACACAAAGGCTAACTAAGCTGGGCAATCGCTTCACATCGTTCCGCCTAATCAGCCCGGACCACCAGAAACCGATTAACTGCGCATGTCGCCGTCTAAGCCTCAACATATGCAATGTCTACGGGTGGAGCAAAAGTTATCAGGACAATCTAAAAAAAACATACAACAGCCGGTATTCGCTGGTCGTCACCGACCCAACTACTAATCAGCCCCTCAGGACTCTTGGCTGTCAGGATGCTGGCAGCTTGAAGTGGAAGAACAGGCATCCAGAACAGACGCCCATGATCTCCGTTTTTGGAGGTTGTCATCCACGTAGCGATGATCCACCGTACCGTTATGTCACATGACCGTCAACAAAACGGGCGTATTCTTGAGCGTCGATCAATTGTTAGAGGGTGCAAGAAAATTGCTAGTCCCCACCGCACCTGAAGCGCGTGGGGTGTGGAAGGGGTGACTCTTATCCCTACTCCTCGTTAATTTAAGATAGGCGCCAGCTGCTGCAGGTAACGATAGCTCCCCCATTGATTCTAATGAAAGCTTGAGATGAGAGCTGACTGCCATCGCCGCACCTGTTCCAGAATCCATGCTTGCCTTCACATCTTGGGAGAGAACGCAATATTTAACGTAGATCCACTAAGTAAGAATTGGATGAAATGGGCCGCGAGTGCACTAAATGCGTCCCGATGTCTGCTGAAACATACGAATGGGAGCAATACCGAGCGTGACGCGCAGCAGGCGTCTACGGGTAACTCAATGTACACTGGAAGACTTAGAACGGAACGTTATAGCAGTGATAGTCCATACGACAAAGAACTAGACTCGGAAACTAGTGATATTCCACATAAATTACTTATCAAAACAGGCCAAGTACGGCGACTAATGCGTACCTTTACTCCTGCATAAACGCCTCATTGGTGGTCACACAACTAGGGGCCTGATGAGCAGCTACATGGTGCACATACAGTATTGAAGGTGCATACTCTGAGGAGTTTTCCCAAGATAAAACTAGGTCCCTAACTTCCGTGGGACCTCCCTTTGCCAAAACTCATAGCCTGCGCGAGCTCCCTGAAAAATCGATGGCGTAGCTTTGGCTCTTCTGAATTGCGGTCCTGCGCGACCGCCGAAGACGGAACCGATCTTCCATAGGACCGCATTTGCTGTAACGACTCCCGTGTGGAGGCCAGGTACATAGTGCTCTGAGTCGTGTGCGGGTGATCTTCACCAAGAATATGCCGGCGAAGGTCTAGAGCAGTGTTATGAAGTACTTCAGCCTCGTCATATCGGCCCTGCGCATGGTACGTCGCCGCGAGGGACGCCATGCTGCTGATCGTGTCGGGGTGCTTCTCCCCAACCACCTCCCGTCGGAGATCTAGTACTTTGACCGAAATTTCTTCATCTTCGTCGTATCGACCCTGCGCATGGTACGTCACCGCGAGTTCCGCCATGCTCCTGATCGTATCGGGGTGCTTCTCCCCAACCACCTCCCGTCGGAGATTTAGTGCTCGCTTCTTCAGCGTCTCAGCCGCGTCGTATCGGCCCTGCGTATGGTATGTCGCCGCGAGGGACGCCATGCTGCTGATCGTGTCGGGGTGCTTCTCCCCAACCACCTCCCGTCGGAGATCTAGTAC